GGCAATGTTGAAAACCTCTTACGACGTTTCAACCTTGTAAAATACACAACTCGCTAATACAATGGTGGTTGTGTTCAAATTGTTTCAATTGAGGGAGCTCGAGTTTTGGACGCCTGACATTTATTCAAGTGAACCTAACCCTTTTTTAAAATAATCTTTATTCATTACGGCTGCTAGGCACCTAACGGCCTAACCTGTCTCCTTTTGATTGGGAGATATTGAGTCCACTGKCCATAGCTCGGAATATAAATCGTGACAATGGAAAATATATACTCGTGAATGAATATTGTACAATAGGAGCCGTAGTTTTTGCTTACCTTATCAAGCTGTACGTATGCTTGTGTCGAATGGAGTAAGCTGTCTCAATGATAATATACAAAGACCCGAGCAAGCCTCGCCCATCGACAAGGTTGACCAATCACATTCGAGTAGATAATTGATGTATGTAAGCAGAGCAGACGGAAGCCAGYGAAGCAGAAGCCGGTTTAATTATTGTGCTTCTATATTTCTCGATGAAAGAAATTTCATAAAGACGTAGGAAATCGATATGACTCAGGGTTTTTTGAAGGAGATTTAGGTTGTCATTGATTCAGTATTTCCTCTTTGTAAATTGTATGTTTATAATGTCAGTTTATCATATTTTCGTTATTTAATTGATTAAAATGTTTTGAAAACTCTCTTATTACTAAAAGGGTAAAACGAGACATAATTCAAAAACTTGATTGCAGAGAGTTCACTTCAACACTTCGATGTTTAGAAAATTTCTCCGGATGTGGAAAACGCCTCGATGTTTATATAACATAATTATATAGCCACATATTAATCCCAAATAGGTAAAAGCTGGATTTTTCGTTAATTTTGGAATCCTGTCCAATTAAGAAATTAATTGGACAGGTTTTCAATTGGGTTTTTGTTAAAAGCTGTGGTTGGCTTTTACCTATTTGGGATCAATATGTGGCTATATAATTAATAGGTAATAAGACTCCATGCTGTCCAATTAAGAAATAATTAGACTCGAAAAATTCCTCTGACTGCCAAATTGGACTCGGCCACGGCCTCGTCCAATTTTTGGCAGTCCTCGGAATTTTCCTCTTCCAATTATTTCTTAATTGGACAGCATGGAGTCCTATTACATATAAAAATTGGCGATGGTAGTACATGGACGAAAGGACAGGGACAACGGGATGTACACGCTGACGCGAACCGTGTACCGGTCCATGAATTTTTTGATGGAAAAGATTTTATTTGATGCATTTTGTCAGCATGATCAATATGCAGAAAGTTACGTTATATACCAACGAAAACAGAAGTATAGGAACGACATCACGAATGATTGAGGAACTTCGGGCCATTTCGTTCCCAAATAGACTAAATCTTATCACTCTTCAGTTAACATTGTCACTACAAATTGCGTGATCATATTTGATCAGGTTTTTATTTTTCAGCACAATGTAAGCTTTTACAAAAATAAATGCATTAATTGAGTGTCCACTCAAATCCTAGTTTCGTATCAATCATTCTTTATTAAGTTTTTGGTAAGCGCGTCTTTATCATTAATGCACCCCTTTAAAAGCCTTTTATTGGTTCTTGTTTATGTTATCAAACAACAAAGCAATTGTCATTACCATAACAACAAGAGAAGACGACAGATGAGCATGCGTCGCTGCATTGACATCCGTCTTATCTGCAATCCTTGCAAACACTCTACAAGGGCCGCCACTACCACCTTTGATCTTCATAGGAGCAGCAAACACTTCAAACCCTCTTGGAGGAAGACGGTGTAGATTAGCGACGTTCTCTATTCCAGGAACTCCGGCTCCTAGNGGTTGACAGTGTGTCTTAATTATGGTAATTCCTTTGTTCTCTATTGTCTGCTCAACAATATTTACGGCGTACTAGAAACTAATCTTAGAGTCGTGAAACACGCTTTGCGTACCACACTTCGTTAACCTTTTATTTGGCACACACTTTATTTTGTCTTCTCGATGTATCACACGTTGTTGTACTTTTGACCATCACACTTAAAGTTTTAGCGCGTCGGCTATCCATATACGCCCGACTAATCAGACATTTGTGCTTTGCGATTACACTTGATTTAGTACAGTGATTCAATGAGTGGAAAGCATAGTTTTAAGAACGTATCCATTTTAAACAAAAAATGTCAACACACCACTCTCAAAGCCTTTTATTGGTTCTTGTTTTATGTTATCAATACAACAAAGCAATTGTCATTACCATAACAACAAGAGAAGACGACAGATGAGCATGCGTCGCTGCATTGACATCCGTCTTATCTGCAATCCTTGCAAACACTCTACAAGGGCCGCCACTACCACCTTTGATCTTCATAGGCGCAGCAAACACTTCAAACCCTCTTGGAGGAAGACGGTGTAGATTAGCGACGTTCTCTATTCCAGGAACTCCGGCTCCTAGTAATATATTGTGAGTTGGAAAACCTTCTCGGCTTTGACCTCTATCTAATGAGGGTGTATCAAGACCAAACAGCTTTATTTTTCTGTTTTTGATTAACCACTTTGCGGCGTTTGGATGAAGACCTGCACACAAAGAAAGATAAAAGGTTATTTTTCCCAAGTTTTCAAAAGTTTTGTTTAGTAATTGTAAGATTGTAGGAATCATATCTTAAACACAACTGCATACCTGGAAACCTGAACGTTGTGACATTGTTTGTAAAATTTGTTCCAAAGTACTTGACTTTATCAGRATAAAACTTCCCCCAACCCGAGTATAGGAACACGACTGGCTCGTCGGGMATCCTTCCATGTTTCTTCTCCCAGTCTTCTAAGTCGCTGATTTCAAGCTCGGCATTGGGGTTCTTTTCGGCAKATGAAGAGATATTTACAATAATTCCGTCCCCAACCATCTGGTTTATTGTGATCTTGTCCACAGGGATCCCATCTTTGATGAAGTGGYTGGGTGCATCGATRTGTGTWCCTCCATGCTCRCCRGCGCCRAATGAGAAATATCTAAAAAACACGTCCTTGGTAATCATCCCCTGATATCCAAGTTCTAGTTGGAAYGGTTTTTGACCAGGCCAGTAGATGGTTTCGTTTTCAACAAAAGGGTGCGACAGGTCGATCCATTTGGGTGGGGCTGCAGTGACCTGGACAACCATCACACTGATGACAGCAAACAGCAGGAAAAACATCTTATGATATTCTAATAACAAAACAATAGATTTATGCAGATTTGACAAGAATTGAGCACACGGTTTGAATTGCTTAATCTAACAGAARAAAACAGAGAGTGAATGTGGTTCACATTAGGYGTAGAAAGAAGTACGCCATTTTCCCGTTCAAAGCGAGCAACCGCTGCTTTAGTTGACAACAGTCTCACATGTGCAAAGACCTTACCAAAAACAAAACAAAGCACGAAAGAAAGTTGTCATTACAATAGGCCTATAAAATTTGCATTTTCTCCTATTCTGTATTCCCAGAAGGTTCAAACTCTTGCTCAGGCTAAGCCTCAAATCGGAGAAGATTCAAATTTCTAGAGCTATTGTAATATCANCAGTTTCACTTGGTGAATAATTGCGGCTGCTACTAATCATATTGCTTGTTCATCGATCCATATTGTCCGTCATACCTATTAACTATGGTCATACCTTACGACTGTCTGATTTAACGGATCCACTTAAACGTTACTGATACGGAAGTATACTTAAATAACGTGAAGACACAAGCCGAGGATTTATTGTCAAGAATAACCTTAATTTCTGCGACAGAATTTGAGTCGTATTCTACGTATTCTCCTACAGGCATTTTCTACTAACTGTGGTTASGCTCAAAACCTTTGACGATGTTTCATTGTTTCAATGCACTGAGCTCAGCATGTTTTAAAAAGAATTTGGGATCCGAAATGTCCACTGACATGTATTGAAGTGAACATAGCCCTTTTTTAAAATCATCTATTCATTATTGATTACGGCTGCTATAGGCACCTAATCCTAACCTGTCTTCTTTTGATTGGAAGACATTGAGTCCACTGGCCATAGCTCGAAATATAARTCGTGATAATGAAACTATTTTCGTCATACTCGTGAATAAATATTGTATTATAGTAACTCCAGTATTTGCTTACCTTGTTAAGCAGTACGGATGCTTGTGTCGAATGGAGAAAGTATGAGCTGTCCCAAGGATAAAAKACAAAGACTCGAGCAAGCCGCGCCCATCGAAAAGCCTAACCAATCACACTCAAGTAGACAAGTACGGACAAACTTGACCTACATCAAATTGTGACTGAAGTATATACGTAAGCAGTGGAGACGGAAGTGGAGACGGAAGCAAAGGATGCGCAAAGTTTTATTATTGTGTTTCCATCGGCGCATTAAAAAAATGTCTTTCTCTTGGATTCTCTGTCTCCGCAATTATCCTAATATACAAGGTGAAAATTGGCCTTAAACAGGATCAGTGTGCAATAGAGTCAATTTCATATGACTGGGGAACTGATGTCACGTGATGCTCAGGGGAGATCCATTAGACTTTTGAGAAGAGAGGATGGGAAATTTTTAAAAAAAACTCTCCACTAAAGCTTTTGTAAATTAAAAAAAATTGCAAGCGGGCGCCTGAAGTCAAAAAATAAATTCTTGCACCAACTACAGACATCCCCCGCCCCCCTTACGTGATAGCAGCTAGGCTACCGACGCCCAGTCATAAGAAATTAATTTCTGTTCAATATATAGTGACGAGTTCTGTCGTTTTAAAGAATGTCTTTATGCTTTATGTGGCTTTAATTATTTTATATAGATTTTTCTATGGTTTTTAAAGTCAACTTTATAGCAGTTTCGTTATTGATTAAAAGTTTATGACAACCCTCTAAATTATCAAAATGGATAAAAGGAGACATAATTGAAAAAATTGATTAACTAGAGTACGGTTTTACAAACAAACAAAAAACTACGATGKGTGGGCTCTATAAAGTGAGCAAAYATTCTACTTGTTAGAAACCGTCTTTAAATGCAAAAAAGATGAACTAACAYCATCACGGCAACGATAGCACAAGGCATGTGAAYATGAGCGACTCCATTAACTTCCTTCTTRTCTGTAAGTCTTGCAAAAACTCTCACTGGTCCACCAGTGCCGTCTTTGGTCTTCACGGGAGCTGCAAACACTTCAAAGCCTCTTGGAGGTAGACGGTCCAGGTGGGCGACGTTCTCTATTCCAGGAACTCCAGCACCAAGCAAGATGAAATGGGTTTTGGCRTCTGGTGTGGTGGCCTTATCAAATGATGGTGTGTCGAGACCAAAGAGTTTGATTTTCTTGTTGTCTAGCAACCACTGGGCTGCGTCAGGATGTAATCCTAAAAAAAAAATAATAATAAAATAGATCATAAGGCTTGTTTTTAGATAATATCTATCTCCTCTTATTTTTGACTAATAATTACAAACGAATGAGACGCAATTTGAAATCTTCTTAGTTAAATAGCATAGCCCCAAAAGTATTACGAAGATACATATTAAAAGTTATCRCTCTTGCTCAAACGGTATAAGTAGTCATTTTCAATACGGTTAGAGTTACAATGATGTCACACAAACTTCTGACTTGGAAATCAATACAAAACTACAGGCAGAGCAGACTATACCTCGTACCAGCGGCCGTAGRCCAGGGCACGAGTAAAAARAACTTATCATCAKTTTAGAGYACCTGGAAAATTCAGGGTAGATGCATTTTCTGGAGTCTGTGWACCGAAGTACTTGACTTTATCAGGGTAAAACCGTCCTCTTCCAGAATACATAAAGACGGCTGGCTTGTYTGGAATCTTTCCATGTTTCTTCTCCCATTCTTGTAAGTCACTCACTGTMAGCTCGGCATTTGGATTGCTYTCTGCCTTTGATGAAATATTTACAACAATCCCCTCCAACCCTACCACGTCCTCAATCTTGATCTTGTCCATTCCTATACCATCTTTGATGAAGTGGTTTGGAGCGTCCATATGTGTTCCTCCATGTTCTCCCGTAGTGATTTTATTACCTATAAAGAAGGACCCKCCGTAAGCCRWCCGATATCCAAAATCRTATTTAAAAGGAATGTTTCCTTCTACTGGCCAATAGATGGACTCGTTTTCAGCAAATCGATAGGTTAAGTCGATCCATTTGGTAACTGGCGCTGAAAATACTTGGCTAACTGTCATGATAGCTGCGATAGCAAAGAATAGGTCGGCCATCTTTGAGTGGATTCTGAATGAAAAAGAAAACATTCTCACTGCTGTAATATATACATTTCTGGAGAAGCAGTGGCGGATCCAGGGGGGGTTCCATGGGTTCCTAGGAACCCCCCTCAAGCATAAAAACAATAAAGAAAAAATGATAAATGAAATAAAATGAAAACGTATCGTACAATGAATTTTTATTAAATACACTTATTATTTGCTACAGTTCGAGAGGCACAGTAAAAAAATTCGTTTTAGAAAAATGCGAAACTAACCAAGTGGAACCCCTCTTTGAAAAATCCTGGATCTGCCACTGAGAAGAGATCACAATGCGCCGTTTATTCTAAAATTATTACTGACTGGTGACAACTTAAAGATGGGAGAGTTTCTTTGGACTGCGCTATGATTATAAGGCTCTCTCGAAGGGGTTTGGGCCGGATACTCAGGCGAGACTGCAAAAGACTCTTGATCGCGACTAGCCTTCTACGCAGGCATCTCTCTATCTCTCTCTAACACACACTCTGTCTGAGGTAGTCTGGGAACGAATATACAAAAGACGAAGGGGGAGGGAGACTAAAAAATTAATGCAAATCAACGCTTTCGATCTTCCAAAAAGCAAGTGAAAATTTTTATCATGCAGTCGATGTTGAAAACGTTGTCCACATTTCTTCACTTTCTGAAACATTCGTGAATCATTCTCTAATGCCAAAACTTTTCATTTCTCCGGCTAACCAGCTGACATTGAAGACCGTTGACAAGAACAAAGCTTTTAATTCTCGCCACGTTTAATTCTCGATTTCTTATTGTCCGAGAGCTGTCGTAAGTAAAAGTACATATCATGTTCGCAAGATTATTCTTTTATTCTAGAATTGTTATCTAATTGTAGAACTTTTTCGTGGTAAAAAAGCAACACTACGCACACTCGTGAGAGATCTTTTCGACACTCGAGATTAAAATCCGTCTTAGCCCCGCGCGCCCATGAAATATCCTCTATTTCTTAATTTCTTTAATTTCGAAAACTTGTTATTTTCACTCGTGCAAACATAATTTGCTTTCATGGATAGTAATGTGATAATACCCGTGCTTCTTGACTTTCAGTCACATAATAATATTTGCACTAGTTGTGATAGCGACAAGCGATCTGTTAGCCTTGAGATACTTATACTATGTCCATTCAATGAAATCAACACATTATTAGTAAGTTGAGTACGCAAGAGAGTAGGAGTTTGTGCCTTTATCTTACCTTAAAAAGATTGTAAAATCACTCTAGATTATATTCAAGACATTCACTAACGTGAACGTGACCTGAGAAACTTTCGATCCATCCGACTGAATAAACATGCGTGACTAGTCGCACCCAGATCTGAACATTTAGATCAATGAAATCAACCAACTGTTACAACTAGACGCTCTTGGAGCGTGAAGTCGGGCTAGCTATTTTGGAAAATTGAGAAATTACTTGGATTTGCGAATACGTGAAGAGCGAAAGAGTTAAACACGATAAGATAAAATTCGCATCTAAAAAAACATGTAATAATACTGACAGTCATATAATTATATATGAAAGTAATTTATGGCGTAGAATACCTTATCTAGTTTGTTTATTCACGCACCGCGATATTCTTCTCTGGTGGCTTGTCGCAACGACATCAAAACACTAGAAATATCGATCCAGGAGTAATATTCTGTTTCTCAATTTTCAAAAATAGCTATCCCAACTTCACGCTGTAAAAGCGTGTAGCTCATTCAAAATATGCAAATTTCGTGTGTTTTAAAAAGGTCATATAAACAACAATTTATAATTTAACAATTTTTGATGCAATGTTTAAAGTAAAGAATCCTATTAACCTATACTTATCCCGTTTTTTGTACATAGACCAGCTTATACTATTTAGGGGAATCTCCAAAGGCAACTCTTTCAAATAAATTCAAAATAAATGCTTTAAATGCTCTTAAAACTCATATACTATCATTACTAATGCAACCGGAGACGAAATGGCGCAATGCATTTGATTATCAGATATCTTGGTGTAAAGTTTCACGTTTTTAATTAAAAAATGACCTCTCAGGTCAAGAAGCATATTTTACAAAGCAAGACTGCGATGAATAACACAGTAAATGGGGAAATATAATTGACAAAACTATTTATTGATACGTAAAATATAGCTATTAGAATAAATAAACTTATCACTGTGAGTCTAGAGCTGATTGTAGAGGTCTGATCCTTCGTCTTGTCGAAGAATTCTTTGGGTTCGCGGAACGACTCGTTTCGAAACTGACGCTCATTGACATCTTTTAGTGTGAGTCTACCGCGAACGGCGTGTGCGTTTGTAAGATGGTTGAGCTGCCGTTGAGCGTCTCAGCATGTACTTTTTTGACATCTTACATGTAATTGTAATAGCTCTCCAAGGAAGAAGGAAGAAACGTCGAGCAAATGTACTATAGCACAAGCACAGCACCATAAGACAAGTAAAGTAAAGCATTATGGATAATATGATTGACCATGTGATCTTGGTATTCCTGTGCTATCCAACCAGGAAATTATGGGTAATTTTAGCTGTCAGGTTACTTTGTAGGTATGCACGTGTGATTGCCTGATTATTATGGTATATTTGACAGGGCTACCTATGCCCTGGTAGCTGCAAAAATGTGTGATTGGATGGGAGATTTATTACTCTGAGCATGCGCTTATGTTTTATTCAGTTACATAAAGCACACGTCGTCCCACATGGTTCTTAACAAGCAAATTTATTAGTATATAAGTCAAGCAAAAAGTAGTACTATACGATGATATGCCGCAGACTCGGAGGTAGACTCATATGACGTATATTAAATTAACTAGACGCTCTTGGAGCGTGAAGTCGGACTAGCTATTTTTGAATGTATATCATGGCGTAGAATATTATATTTTTTACTTCTAATACATAGTGAAAGCAAGAATGCGTGACCGTTTATTCACAGCCAATTCTTCGTTTTCATGTGACGTCATCGAAAAACCAAAACCAGAAATAAACATCTTATAATAATAATTTAAAAATATGTTTTAGAAACTATTGAGATGACTAACATGAAAAAGTTTGAAGTCATTTCGTTATTTTGTGCTCAAGTTATAAGGGCCCAAAGTCTGTCACGCAAGACTGTCACGCGTTTCTTATTAGCGACGAARCTCAAAACTAATTCGCCTAATAAAGGAAGATTTTACCTTAGGCATGTTCAGAGTATCTATTTTTAGTATATTTCAGTAAAAGATATTGAAATATGTCGAAAATCCATCATAATTACTCGTGACCAGGGCCTTGGCCGGGTCACGAGTCATAAAATGCAACGCGTATAGTTTTTTTTGTTCCAAGTCAGAAGTTCACGCCTTCGGGTCTCCCGATCGCCCTCCGATCTATCACGAAATATCACATTACGAACTCGGCTGTAAACAATCGTGTAATAGAACAGTTAACTGCCCGGGAGCTGTAGCTTTTATAGTAATTATTTGATATTCGAGGCCTTTTGTTATTCCAAGACATTCATCTGTGTCGAAGCATATATTATGACATTGGTTTAGGTCATCAAGGTTGCTGTATCGAGCCAAATAGTGCATTTTCCTTGGCGAGATGTAAAGCGATCGTAGGCTSAGTGAAGCYGCAACGTGACTGTTTGATTCTGAGTTGCATAGCCTAAATWTTCAATTTGATGAGGAATTCTGTCCCTTCAGGATTAAAGAAAACAATGCTATTCACGCGGGAGTATTCCTAGATGAATATTGAAGCGATTATGGTTTTATAGAGAGCGGATAACCATCTTGTTGAGATCGTTAGCACGGCGCGAACTATCATAGTCTCCTCTCGCAGCCGTTAGGACGTTCGTTCCCAGGTCACTCCCCCCTAAGGGTTAGTGACCTGGGAACGAACGTCCTAACGGCTGCGAGAGGAGACTAGAACTATCACCGACACTTCGAAAATTGCGGTCTGATTTTCAGGATATTGTGGTTTAATACTTAACCTTTAAATTACTACAATAAGAATAAGTCTATCCATATTTTTACTCTGTTTGACATGRAAGATTATCGGATTGAACGATTTCAGTCACGTCTGCATTCTTTGCGTGATGTAGAATTGTCATCTAGTTCCTTCAAAGCTGCTAAATATAGGCGAACAAGTGAAAAGTTTTAAATAATTTGAAAAAGTACTGAATAAGCTAGCATTTTTCAACACCTTTAGGTCACGAGTACACCCTGCTGGCAGGGTCTAGTTAGTCTTTGAAGTTTCGGACATTTTGCTGGTGGTATCGACATATCCACCAGAACGCTTAAATCGGCATACATTTCTCACTATAGCGCGTCGTGTTTGATTGTCAATAATTCCGAAACGAAAGGCTCTATAACGTTGAAACTTTACCAGTTTATGTAGTTTTAACAGCTTTACAATATTATAAAGCTTATATTTTATTACGATGCGAATTTAAGTTCTTGAAAATGATAATCCCTTATATGAAATAAAAGAATACGATATTCTTTTCGACTGCTCTCTGCAACGACTTCAAAACGATAGAAATCTAAATTTTGACCTAAAAGGTCATGTA